TCTTCTGCTCCCTCTCCCATTCCATTCACATCAAGATTCATTTTCAATTATCTTTACATACAGAAGATCGATTTAGTATATATTAAGTAAAATTTCATCAGTTTGCACCCACACAGAACACAGTTGTTAAACATTCACCTATTAATTCATTCATTTAATTATCTCAGATATATTCGGCAACACTTGATGCCTTTTAAGTGGTAATAGCTATGAAATACTTGGGTTGTATTCTAGTGAGGAGAAAAATACAACATAAATATAACAGGATATTTCAAGGTAGTAACTATATCTATAAAGGAAATTTTGAATAATTTAAAATAGTTTTAAATTCTACAAAGAAAAATTTTGGAGAATGCCTTGAAGAAGACAGAGTAAATAATTCATAAAGGAACTCCTAGGGAAATTTTCCATGAAGATTTAACATTTGGTTGGATATGGGTGATGAGAACTAAAAAGTCAAGTGAATAGCCAAGATTAAGAAATTCATTGTTTAACATTTACCCTTCAGTAAGGATTTTAGTTCTTAAAATAATTTCACAGGTTACAAAGTTAATACGTATTTTTAGAAAACACACTCAATATTTAATGCATTTCTTCTGTGATTTTAGACCCTAATGAACCATAAGATAATGTAATTTGCTAAATTGTATATACTAAATTGGGCTTTATTTTTATCTTAGAAGTTATGAAAACTCTCCTTGATTAAAGAAATACTCAAACAAGAATTAATAGCATCACATTTATTCAAGCTCACATACCTCAATATTTAAATTTTTGAATGGCTACCTCACTTTTGAATATTCAGTTCTAACCCAATCAAGCTGGAGAAAAATTTTCCAAAGACAAGGACATCTGTCTGTGCAAAAGAGTCACAAATAAATAATACTTAGATTACCATTTTTATTGAATACATAAAAATAAATAAACATCTTTTCCTCACAGCAAGCAAAGATTTAAATAAATTGCAGAGAACCCTACAAAAGATGAAAATCTATAATTCCCCCCATTCTCTCTTTCCCTTTATCCTTCCATTTTCCCCTTCTGAGTAAGGTAGTCTCAACATGATGTGGTAGCATGCTCATGATGTCACTTGTGTTTAGGACACAGACAGCAATGAGTTAATTCTAAAAAAATGGAGACCATGTTCAAAAGGGAATTCCTAGAATTTCTGCAACCATATTCCCTGAAGATCTTAATTAAGGGAATTTCTTAAATCTTTCCTGGCACTTCAGCTTTTATAATAGCTAACCAGTTCTCAAACGATGTAATTATAAATGTTGTGATAAAATGATTAAGGCAACAGGTAATAGTAACTAAGAAAATTTTAAGTGCATCAGGAATAGTTTAGTACTAATTAATGTGTTGATTTAGTTAGTTAAGCATTTAATGGAAGTATTAGTGGGTTGAAAAGAAGAAAACTCTTTGTAATGTTATTAACTAATATCAATTTTGCCAAAATAAAAAAATCTTTTAAAATTACCTCCTTTAGTTATCTCACAAGTCCATTGTTAAGAAAAAAATGACACACATGTCAACGGTATAATTATTTTTAAATCACCATATAAATGAAAAAGGTTATTCTCATGTAGACAGAAAGAGCTATAACTTTATAACATATTAATGTTTTTACCTACATAGAATATGATTTCTAGGATAAGCTTAGAAAGAAATTTCAAGAGCTGAATTGAGAAGTTCTCATAATATGAGTGAAATTCTACAGCACTGATAAAGTTACTTCCAAATTCATCATGACCAATGCATTCAATTTATTCATGATACTAAATACTCTCATATGTCTATTTTTCCTATTATCCCTTCTCTGATGTGATTGGGAAAAAATTTGGCCAAAAAAAAAATATGGCCAATAGGCACATGGAAAAATGTTCATAATCACTAGCAATCAGGGAAATGCAAATCAAAACCACAATGAGGTTTCACCTCACCCCGATGAGAATGACTCACATTCAGAAATCTACCAACAACAGATGCTGGCGAGGATGTGGGGAAAAAGGGACACTAACTCACTGTTGGTGGGACTGCAAACTAGTAAAGCCACTACGGAAGTCAGTTTGGAGATTCCTCAGAAACCTGAAGATAACCCTACCATTCAACCCAGCCATCCCACTCCTTGGAATTTACCCAAAGGAAATTAAATTGGGAAACAAAAAAACAACCTGCACCTTAATGTTTATTGCAGCGCAATTCACAATAGCTAAGACCTGGAATCAACCTAAATTCCCATCAACAGTAGACTGGATAAAGAAATTATGGGACATGTACTCTATGGAATAGTATACAGCAGTCAAAAACAACGAAATCTAGTCATTTACAACAAGATGGAGGAATCTGGAGAACATTATGCTGAGTGAATTAAGCCTGTCCCAAAGTGACATATATCATATGTTCTCCCTGATCAGTAACAACTAACCGAGCACCAAAAAGGAAACCTGTTAAAGTGAAATGAACACTATGAGAAACGGTGACTTGATCAGCCCTTGCCCTGATTGTTGATGAACAGCTTAATACGTTATCCCTCTTAGTATTTTTTTGTCTGTTCTACTTAATACTATTGGTTTAATTCTGTAATTAATACACAGTTATTCTTAAGTGTTGAAACTTAACTAAAAATCGATCCCTGTTAAATATAAGAGTGTGAATAAGAGAGGGAAGGGATGCACAATTTGGGACATGCTCAAGCTGACTTGCCCCAAATGGACAAGAGTTAGAAACATACCAGGGGAGTCCAATTCAATCCCATCAAGGAGGCATGTACCAATGCCCTCTCACTAGTCCAAGAGATCAATTTCAGTTCACAATTGATCATAAGGATAGGACTAAAAATCAAAGGGATCACATAAACAAGGCTAGTGTCTGAAAATACTAACTGATAGAACAAAAAAAAGGAGAGAACGATCCAACATGGGAGTCGGGATACACAGCAGACCCATAGAATGGCAGATGCCCTAAACAGCACTCTGGCCTCAGAATCAGCCCTTAGGGCATTCAGATCTGGTTGAAAATCCCATGAGAATATTTCAGGCATGGAAAGCCAAGACACTCTGGAAAAGGAATAATCTAAATGAAAGATCTCTGTGAGTGAGATCCCAGTGGAAAGAATGGGGCCATCAAAGAAGGAGGTACCTTTCTCTGAAGGGAGGAGAGAACTTCCACTTTGATTATGACCTTGTCTAAATATGATATGAGTCGGTGAACTCAAAAGGCTTCCATAGCCTTGGCAACTCATGGCAAGAGCCTGATGCCATACACAGGAGTGTCAAATTGTTAAGTCAACAACAGGAGACCCTGTGCACTTACTCCTCATGTAGGATCTCTGTCCTTAATGTGCTGTACATTGTGATTTAATACTATAACTAGTACTCAAACAGTATTTTTCACTTTGTGTTTCTATGTGGGTGCAAACTGTTGAAATCTTTACTTAATATATGCTAAACTGATCTTCTGTATATAAGAGAAATGAAAATGAATCTTGATGTGAATGGAAGGGGAGAGGGAAAGGGAAAGGGGAGGGCTGCAGGTGGGAGGGAATTTATGGGGGGGTAAGCCATTGCAATCCATAAGCTGTACTTTGGAAATTTATATTCATTAAATAAAAGTTTAAAAAATAAAAAAAAATAAAAAAAAATTTTTAAGAACAATAAACATAACCATTGCAGTAAGCCATTTATTTAGATTTTTTTCTGTGAGACATTTGTCCAGTAGTAACACTGCATTGTAGGAGAGAAAATAGATTCATGATTCATGTTTATTATATGTTAAGTATGTATAGTATACCGATGTATTATAGCTTGTAGAAAACATAAATAATGAAATATATATATATTAGTGTATATGCATTTTTAAGCTGATGTGGTATAATCTATAACAAGCATGACACCGGTTTCCAGCATGAGTATGCAATTTTATAACTGTCAGTACCAGACAACAGAAACTCTGAGACTGACAGAATTCATGCCTAGAGTCTTAAACACAACAATGTGACACGTACTTAAAGTTCCAGTGACACTGAGATTGGTAACATACAGTTTATATGATACTAAGGATATTATATTCTTTTGGAGCCAACAGTCACATAAATTGGCAATAACAATATACTATTATAAAAGAAGGGATGGGAATACATGGAAGATGCTGTATAGTGCAACTGTATAATTTATTATACAAACTGGAACACTGAAACTGATCATTATTAATAGTTGTTAGGAAATAAGATATAAATTGGGACTGTCTGGAAATACAGGATTTATGTTCACCCTAGAGTCATGGGAGCACACACAAGAAATTTAGTATGTGACCAAGAGGACAGTCAGGAAGTTTTCCACGGAGGAAATGACATCTACATTGCAATAAAAAGATACATAAATATACATGCAGGGATAAATGTGAGTAGCAAAGTGAGAAAGTTCCAGGATCATGCCTCCAAATTTTGCACTGATATGAAGGTGCAATGGCCTAAAGGCAAGAGAGAAAGCATCAAACAACAACAAAACCTGTGATGAGATTGAAGAACACTGGATTTGGGAAATGGCACATGGCAGGTGGAAAGATGATCCTTGCTTGGTAAGTAGGTGAGAAAACTATTTTCTCAGATAGGGAGACGATACCTCTTTCAGTGATCATGCTAGAGTACCAAGGTCACACAGACCACAGGTAGTTAACTTGAAACCACAAATTTGTTTCCTGATGCCTAGGCCAATGATGTATGTACATACTATACTAAGAAAATACCATTTCTCAATTCAGTGACTCTAATAACTTAAAATATCATATCGTGTCAAAATTCTAAGCATTGTTATGTAAAATAGCCGCTTGGAGTTTGTAAAGAAAGCACAATAGTGGTTCACAGTACATGGCCTAAGTAATAACAAGAAAATGATTTTTCCTTTTTTGAAATATTTTCAGTTCATTAGGCTCTTTACCCACTGTCATGTATATATCCACATATCTATAGACTTTATGGAGCTTTTAAAAATAATAAATACCTTAGAAATTGATGAGCTGCCTCCAGAGTGCTGCCAAGTGTTCCAGTGTTCTGAGGCTTGAAGTGCTCATCAGCCACATCAATACCTTGAGGCACTCAGTTAAAACACTGAGGTAATTAACCAGAGCAAGCTGTCGATGAAGTCGGATCTGATTAAGTAGAGGGATCCTAGAAAGAGAGAGCCTGGATTTAGGCAAAAATGTGACATAAAGTGGACAAAGCTGATTAAAACAACCCCTTTACTTTGCCTTTATAAGCTCTTGCCAACCTTTTGGCAGCCCTATCTAATCCACTTTACACATGTCCAGTGCCATCTGATTACATGAATGTCTTTCCTTAATCAGGGAGGAATCATGCTGTAATTCACATTTTGATTATTTCTGGCTTTCTGGGTCACACTTATAACATTTAATAAATCTGATAGTCCTACAGTATTGGTGTGATACAAGGAGTGTCAAGGCAAATTATTTCTATTTTATCGGGGGTTTTCTGGAAGCAATCCTTTAACACAAGTTGTTCAATTTTGGACCTTAAAATCTAATACAGTGGTGAAAAAACGTGGAGATAAAGGACAAATATCAGTGTTCGCCTTCACAGAAATGATCTGTGATCAGTTTATTTTGCATTCAGTAATTCCTTTAAGATTTATTTTATTTCTTTGAAAGGCACCATTAGAGAGAGAGAAAGAGAGAGAGAATCCTTGTGATAGTTCACTCCCTAATGGCTGCAGTGGCTACAGCTGGGCCAGGCAGAGGCAGGAGCCTGGAACTGCCTCTGGGTCTCCCACATGGGAACCTGTCTAATGCCACAGGCTCAGTACAGAGTAGGGTAGACTCAAATCTTCAGAATCCAACTGCAATTCTATGACTAACATATTCTACTGTTCTTTATTAGGAGCAGAACACATTCTATGTACTAAAATTCTGTTCCAACTCACTCTATTCAGAAGTCCTGGGTGCTACTAGAAACTATGCCATCAACAAACTTTATGACTTTGGATATATCTCTGGATCCCAGTTTCATCATCTATAGAATATGGTGGCTTAACTAGGTATCCTATTTATATCTGAAAGATATTTGAATTTACAACATTTCTCCTTCCTTTCTGGAATAATTATGCTGTGTTTCCATAATGGTCCTTCCATGCTTTCAATGTAACCAGCAAACAACAACAACAAAATACATAGAACAACTTAGAAGACAGTATTTGGGACTATCAATGTAATCCAGATCAGGAAAAATCACCTGACATCTCATCAGACTTTATGCAAGCAAAAAGGGAGACAGACGCAGAAACAGTAAGAAAGAGTAAATAGTAGGATAAGGGCATACATATTAAAAGAAACTTAAAAAGCATTTTAATAGGTTGTAATATGTGGAGATCATTTCATATTTAACCTAAAACAACAACAAAATTCACAGATGTTATAAGAGACTACGGTAGAAAGGAGAAGCCAGGAAAGCTTGATGAATGAGTTTTAGGTTCTAGCTAGACAGGAATGAGAAGTTCTGGGGTTCTAATGGAAGGTATAGTGATTATAGACAATGTTAATGTACTGTAACTAGAAGATGGATGCGGGGATGTTTTCAACAAAATGAAATGCAAAATTTTTGAAAAGAAAAATATTTACTCTGATTGGACATTACACAATGTATACATGTATGAAGAATTGTCTAGAATGCCACAGCTATGTACAATTTTATATGCCTCTGAAATTTTTTAAAAATTAGACAAAAAATTATTTTGAGAAAATCAGAAAAGTATAGACTTTGGCTACTTGATGACATGAAGAAATTACTGCTGATTCTTAAGTGTGAAATGATTTTGTGTTGTGCTTCAAAACATGAATTTTTATCTGAGAGATCCCTGCTGAAGTATTTGTAGCTAAAGTAAAATGATCTGTTATGTTTACCTCAACACAATTTGGCAATTGAATAGCAAGGAAAATAGATGAAAGAATGAATAAGAAATGTTATAAAATTATGAAAGGCTGTGAGTTATGGCTATATGTTTAAAATTTCCAATAAAAATGTTAAAATGTGTTTACATTACTTTTTTTTCTGACAGGCGGAGTTAGACAATGAGATAGAGAGACAGAGAGAAAGGTCTTCCTTCCGTTGGTTCACCCCCAAGGGCCGCTACGGCTGGCACACCGCGCTGATCCGAAGCCAGGAGCCAGGTGCTTCCTCCTGGTCTCCCATGCTGGTGCAGGGCCCAAACACTTGGGCCATCCTCCACTGCCTCTCCTGGCAACAGCAAAGAGCTGGACTGGAAGAGGAGCAACCAGGACAGAATCCGGCGCCCCAACCAGGACTAAAACCCGGGGTGCTGGCGCCGCAGTCAGAGGATTAGCCTAGTTAGCAGTGGCACCAGCAATGTGTTTACATTATTAAAAGAAATATTTGTTGGGGCCGGCGCTGAGGTGCACTAGGTTAATCCTCTACCTGCGGCGCCGGCATCCCATATGGACCCCAGTTCTAGTCCCGTGTGCTCCTCTTCCAGTCCAGCTCTCTGCTGTGGCCTGGGAAAGCAGTGGAGGATGGCCCAAGTGGTTGGGCCCCTCCACCCACATGGGAGACCAGGAGGAAGCACCTGGCTCCTGGCTTCGAATCGGTGCAGCTCCAGCCGTTGTGGCCACTTGGAAAGTGAACCAACAGAAGGAAGACCTTTCTGTCTCTCTCTCACACTGTCTGAACTCTGCCTGTCAAACAAATAAATAAAAAATTTTTTTTAAAAAGAAATATTTGTTGATGAAGATAATATATGAAATTTTAGCCTCAAGGATAGTTTCAGTCTCATTTAGTAAATAATAAATTTAATTAATATGCAAAAAACTGACAGCTTATAAAATTAAGTGGGCGCAAATAAGAATTCCTATGAGAGGTATTCAAGATGTTCATGAAAAATGCATATTATGAAAAAATATGTGTGGATTGCATATGTTTTGTATCAAAATAAACTTATCTCTTAATTCCACTTAAATCCAGCTAAAATGCAGTTTTTCCAAATTTAACTCACCAACAGCTTTATTTGCACATTTCACCTACATGATTTTTCACTTTTTAAAACGTATTTCCTAAAACTTAATTTTTAAAAATAATTACATATTTTTTAAAATATTAATTTTATTTATTTGAAAAGCAGAGTTAGAGATAAAGAGGAAAAGACAGGAAACAGATCTTCCAACCACTGGTTTACTTCCCAAATGGCCACAACTGCCAAGACTGTGCCAGGCTGAATCCAAGAGACAGGAGCTTTAAGTAGTCTTCCATGTGGTTGCAGGGGCCCAAGGACTTGGGTCACCTGCTGCTGCTTTTCCAGGTGCATTAGCAGGGAGCTGTATAGGAAGTGGAGCAGCTGGAACTGGAACCGGTAACTCATACAGGATGCTGGTGTTGCAGGGTTGGCTTAACCCGTTACATCACAAAATGTTATTTTTTAAAAAAATAACTCTATTTATGGGGTACAATGTTACATTTCAATACATGTATACATTTGGTACTGATAAAAATCAGGATGATTAACATTCCACCTCCATCCCCCATTATTTTATAATTAGAGAGTTAGCGCTCCTATCTTCTATTTGCTGAGACAATACAGAAAAGTTTATTGTGAACTAAGGTCACTCACATCACCCACATGTGCTGTGTAACAACAGGAAATCTATTTTTTTGTCGGACTCTAATTTGGTACCCACTATCCAACCTCTCTCTATCTCAACAATATCTCCCAGCTTCTAATAATCAGTATTCTATGTTCAGAGACAGTTAATGTTAAATTATGTATACACCATGTTTCCTTTATTCATCCATCTCTTGATGTACACACCTTGACTGATTACTTTTCTTGGCTATTCTGAATAGTACTAAAGCAAACACATGAGTGCATGTTTCTCTTCGATATAATGATTTCATGTCTTTTGGATTTATACCCAGTAGTGTGATTGCTGGATCATATGGCAGTTCTATTTCTAGCTTTTTTAAAAGTATTTCCATACTGTTTTCCATAATAGCTATTCACATTTCATGCCCATCAATAGCATATAAGGGCACCCCTTCCTCTCCATCTTGGGTAGCATCTGCCATTTTTTGTCTTTTTAACAACAGTCATTCTAACAGAGGTGAAGTGATATCTCATTGCAGTTTTGATTTTTGTTTCCCTGGTGGCTACTGATATTAAACATTTTTTCATGTTTTGGTTGGCCATTTTTCTTTCTTTGCCAATTGTCTATTTAGGTCCTTTGCCATTTCATAATTAGATTGGTTGTTTTTTGTTATTCAATTTTGAGTTCCTTGTATATCCTTGGTAACAATCCTTTACGGAATAAATCCCTTTCACATATTTTCTACCGTTCTTGATATGATTTCTTATATGCAACATTTTAAAATGATATTCAATAGATAAGGCTTATAAACACAAATTTCTCATTGATGCCTGTTGTTTTAGTTATTATATACCTTCTGTGGCAGTATTATGATTTAAAATTTTCAATAACTTAGTTTTAATTTTTAAAAAGTAACATACTAGGCCGCCGCAGTGGCTCAGTAGGCTAATCCTCCACCTAGAGGCACCAGCACACGGGGTTCTAGTCCCAGTCGGGGTGCCGGATTCTTTCCCGGTCTCCCCTCTTCCAGGCAAGCTCTCTGCTGTGGCCAGGGAAGGCAGTGGAGGATGGCCTAAGTGCTTGGGCCCTGCACCCCATGGGAGACCAGGATAAGTACCTGGCTCCTGCCTTCGGATCAGTGCGGTGCGCCAGCTGCAGCGTGCCGGCCGCGGCGGCCATTGGAGGGTGAACCAACAGCAAAAAGGAAGACCTTTCTCTCTGTCTCTCTCTCTCACTATCCACTCTGCCTGTCAAAAAAAAAAAAAAAAAGCAACATACTAGGTATCACACCTCCAAAATTATAAAATGTAATTAAAAAAGCATTTTGATAAATATCTTTCCAAGTAATTCTATAGTTTACACATTAACATGGTTCCTCAGATTAGTGTTCTTGGGTGAAAATTCAATAAATAATTGTGTGAAGAATAAATATTCAGTATTTTTAGTATTATACTTAGTAAAATCCATGTTGGAATGCATTTTTTTGAGCCATGCATGCTAACTTCTAAAAGACAATACTAGCTAATATCACAATAACTCCATGGTTTACACCTGTTTTTCTTA